AGTGAGCTCTGGTGGCATAGTGCCTAAGGCATTTGACTGCTAAACGGAAGGCTGGCAGTTCAAACCCGCCAGTCACTCCTTGGAAGGAAGACTGGGCAATCTACTTCCGTAGAGATACTGCCTTAGAAACCCAAGGAGGGGTCATTGTGAGTTGTAAGCGACTCAATGGCAGTGAGTTTGGTTTGGTTTTTATACATATATATATGTATTCCTGGGAGATAATGTATTATTTCTTTTTAATGAGGCAGAGTAATTGAACTGATGCAGTACTATTCCTTAGTGCTGTTATCTTATAAAAAAGAAAAAAATATATATATATACACACACAGAGAGGGAGATTTCTTAACTTGTAACCTTCAGAACCATAACCCTGGCAGAGTTGGCATTTCAAATGAGGGAGAATTAGACTATTTTGCTGAAATTAGCCTTCATTTGATAGTTCTGTGATACTCACATTAGAGATTTCAAACTACGTATAGCTTGAATGTGTGTAATTTTAGTTTTTCATGGATTTGGATTTTTATAACATTCATTTAGCATCCTTTTCTTAGAATCCACATCTAGGAGCTGCAAATTAATTGGTAAGAGAAAGCAGATAAGTTCCTGCTTCAATGAAACATGCAGTCAGGTGGGGTCAAAGACATTAAAGAAATAATTGCACTAATCAAGATGTAATTATGGGTAAATGTTCTTGTGATTCTATGAGATGATATAATAAAGGAACCTGAGATGATCTGGGAAATTAAGGAGACATCCTTAGGTGAAACATAAAGGAGGAGGAAGAGGAATCAAGGAAGAGAGTGTGAAGATAGGGAAGGTGCTGCAAGTAGGGAGCATTGTTGTGGTTAGCTGCCAGGGAAGGAGTTTGCTCTCTACTCACAGTGACCCCGCACTCAATGGAATGAAATGCTGCCTAGTCCTGTGCAGTCACCATGATCAGTTGCCAGTTGGACCTTTGTGATCCATAGGGTTTTCATTGGCTGATTTTCAGAAGTAGATCACCAGGCTTTTCTTTCTAGTGCCTCTTAGTCAGGAAGCTCTGCTGAAACCTGTTCAGCATCACAGCAACACACCAGCCTCTGCCGACAGATGTGCTTGAGGTACATTGGCTGGGAATTGAACTGAGGTCTCCTGCATATAAGGGTAGAATTCTACCACTGAAATACCAATGCCTCATAAATTAGAACTATGATTTTGTTTTCTAGCTCCCTGTTCATTACATTTGGCTGGAATTGCAGCCTATACCTATGAGGCCACAAAGGATCCACATATGTCTTTAGAACAAATTTCATGCACAGTTTGGGTTAATAGTTGACCTGAGTTCACTCATTTCCATAATCAAGGAGTTTGATCTTGGGAGCTCTGGTGGTGTGGTGCCTAAGGCATTTGACTGCTAACCAGAAGGCTGATGGTTCAAACCCTCCAACCACCAGAAGGAAGATTGGGCAATCTACTTCCATAGAGATACCACCTGGCAAACTCAAGGAGGGGTCACTATGAGTTGAATTGACTAAACAGCAGTGAGTTTGCTGTTTTTGGAGACATGATCTTAAACACACTAACATTTTCACATTAGTGAAGGGCTGTCTGTAAGGTGCTTCCTCCAAGATTCTATGTTCTGAGAAAATAGAATTCTACAAGCTCCCAAGGGATGCTCTTGACAAAAGCTACATAAGATGGAAACTCTAAACTTCTTGTGAAGGATACAGGGCCCCTCCTGATTCTAGAATCTTAAAGCCAGCCTATAAATCCCCCCTGGAATTACTCTTGACTAGTGCCAGCATCTATACCTTTTCCTCATTTTTTGCTACTGCTTCAGAGTCCGGGTCAGCGAGACGAGAGGTTTCTGCGGCCCTCACACCCAGAATTTCTTCTATTGCGTGGGTCAGCAAACCAAAAAACAAACTCACTGCTGTCAAGTCAGTTCCAACTCATAGCGACTCCTCCTTGGGTTTCCGAGGTGGTATCACTACAGAAGTAGATTGCCCAACTTTCCGTCCAAGGAGCAGCTGGTGGGTTTGAACTTCCAGCCTTCTGGTTAGCAGTCAAATGCGTTAGGCACTATGCCACCAGAGCTCCCCATGTGGGTCAGTCAGTATCCATAGTAATAATAATAAAAAATGGATAACAGACTTGAAACTTTCTTTCAAATCTAACTGATTATGAAACACTCAATTAGAGCATAAAGCCTCAGTGAGGAGATGATTCCTAATTAGGATAGAAATTGGGTTGATCATCTTTATTAGAAAGGGTAGGATGATAATTGAGAATGCAATGAAAAGAAGAAATTAAACCTAAATCTTTTTGCTGGAAAAATTAAGCTGATCCAATTACCTCTTCTTTTTAAAATTAGGAAAGCCCAAATTTTGAATTGCCCAATTACAAAACGTCCTGTGACCATCATTCTTCTAGAGCAGAGCTGTGGTGTTCTGGAAAAATAGCCGTTTGATACATTTACCCAAACCAAGTAAAGTCTCATTGTCAAAGGATGGAATTTGAGAACTGCAGTGATCTGAAAAACTAACTATCCCAAAGTCCAGTTATTTGTTTGATTCAGTTTCTATCATGTGGTGCAGATTCTAGATTTTGCTGCTTTGTTTTCCCAAAAGTGGGCAAGAACTTACTTGGAAACCTATGTTAAACAGACCTAACTTTTTAACTAAGGGAAGGAATGTGTAAGGAAAAAGACTAAAATGTTAAAGAAATCAGTAAGATACAGTGTATTGAACTGTTTTCACACAGAAAGCTTAGTTGCTATACCTATGTGGGGTCTTAGTCTTATTTTAGAAATTGCCAGTTTCACATTTTGTTTTGAAATGAATGAAGGCTGTATATTTATACTATTTACTGAAGTCAGGAAACAGAGTAAAGTTATCTTTGTGAATGATCTCCTGCTTAAGACTTATTTCAAATTAATGATATAAATAATCTAACAAGGTACTTCATTGTACATTTCTGGGAGCAAACAAAATGGCAATGTGTTTTAATAACAACATAGCTATTTGATTTTTTTTTTTCCCTTCCCCACATTTGTATATAAATTGCTATAGAATTACTTAAAATGCTGCATATAAATTAAACATTAAAAAGGAGATATGGCCAGACTAAGCTACCCATTATAATCTTGAGTTCCGCAGTCATTGCCTCAAGGACACTCCATTTCATATCCCATGTCCATCTTTTGAAAAGTGATCACCAAGTTTCAAGTAACATTTAAGCTCAGCAGGCAACTGCATAATTTATGGACCTTTTTGGTTTTATGTTTTTATTTTAATGAAAAACAGGAAAACAGAAGACTTTTTCATGCATTAATGTCTCTTTTTTCTCTTTCCTTTCTACTCTGCTCTGTCAGATCGGGGCCCTGAAGGACTACTACCACTTCTACCATAGCAGGACGATTAAAAGGTCAGTTCTCTCAAGCAGAGGAACCCACAGTTTCATTTCAATGGAACCAAAGGTAAGAAGAACCAGTTGGGTGGGGACCAAGAGGCAAAGCTTCTGCATTTTTCATTGGTAATATTACACTGGGCAATGATGACCAGCACAAAGGTTCAAATTTCTAGAGTATCATACTGTTCTTTGTTGTAGTGTCTTTGCTTCATCTTTAGGCAAGGAATAGATGTGGCTTGGTTTTTACTGACGTACCATTATCATCCCAATTGTAGTGTAGATCCCAGGGATATCCATAGGGATGAGTTCTTATGGAAAAATGGAGAGAGAGGAAGAGAGACTGAGATTGATTTAGTGTTAAGAATTCCATATCTAATTATTTACATACAGATCTCAGGTTCTGAGCTTCCTAGTGGGAAGGGTCACAATGAAGCATGATTATTTTAGGTGGCATTAGTAGAGCGATGTCTTTGGGCTCCTGAGCACTAGACGGTGTCTGGAACTGGTAGGATACTAAGTACAAGTAGAAGAATAGAAGTAGGCTCTTGCTTTTCAGGGCTGCTGTATGGCAGCCTGCCTTCTGGGGCCCATCGTATTTCTTTCTTATATATTGTCTTTGCTCCAAGTTCTTTTGAGTTGTACAGACAGCATACCCTGGCATGAATCTACAAGTAGGTGTGGTAAGCCCAGGTTTCCCACTACATTTTAAAGATGGAAGGCAGCTTTGAAATGGGAGACAGGAAGTTAGGGAGGGTGAAGGACACAAGGAAAAGAAACTAATAGCCAGCAACTAAGATGTCTGAGGGCAAGTTAGACAATATCTATCCTTATTAAGTTTGAGGAAGGGATTGACTCTGACAGGCATTTAATTGGCCTCTGAGAGGTGTTGAGTAAACAGGAAGACAGAGCAGCTGCCCCAACTTGTTGCAGTTCCTCTGTGGATTCCTTGCCCATTATTTATTGATTAGGATGGTTGTTTTTCATTATGATTTGGGTTTGCTGTTTGAGTTTATTTTAAATAAACTGTGAACAAGTCCTTAGCAGTGAGCTTAGCAAGCTCAGCTAGAGATTCCTCAAAAACTCTATTCTTATTAAAGCAAAAATTAATATGCAAATCAGGCTTTCTGTTTGGAGTCCTGCTCTCTGTTATATGCCATGGCTTGCCACATTTAGTTTTTTTCCTAGCATGTTACAGCACAGTGTTAATGATTTTGAAAGTGTGACTTGGTGGATTGAAAGAGTACCTTTCTTCTAGGTCTCAGTTTTTTGTGGTATAGAGGAACATTCCCTAATGCTTTAGCTTTGGTGGCCTGTGGGTCACATTTTCTTTTCTTTCATTTCTATTCAGCACTGAATGTTTCCGAAAAAACAATCTATTGGGGCATTTTTAAATTAGCTCCGTTTTTGAAGTAAAGTCACATTTTTCATCTATCAAACAACTTTTCTGAAGCTTTCTTGAACTTAGGTAATTAAAATGATTCTAATTTCAAACCTCACATCCATGGTCAATGTAAATTTGAAAAACCAAGTACATGTTAGTTTAGGAAGTAAGAACAGAATGTAATGAGGTATTGTTTTCCTGATGAAGAGTTTACTGATGTGCTGCTATTTCAGTGCTTGGTCTTAACTTGGGGGCAGCTAGGTGTTCATTTGTTCTTTTTTCAGTGCATCAAATAGCGTGTGTGTGATCTAATAGAGACCTTGAATGCTGGGACACATAGTATGTCAGATGTGTGCCTTTTCCTCACACAGACCGGATTCGCTAAGCCATTTTAGGCCGGCACCCAAGTGTATGTATGCTTAGTTCCCTTTTCCCCTCAATAAAAAGGATGCCCAGAGCTCGGACCTATCTTATTCTCCTTTTTAATGCTTCCTAGCTGTCTTTCCCACCCAGCCAGTTATACAGAAGGGCCATAATTCTCTTACCTATTCAGATGGAGTGCCACAAATTGTGATTTGCCTACAATTTATTTCAGATTATACTTATATTGCATACATTCATTAACCATTTCTTGATCTCCTAGTGTGTGTGTGTGTGTGTGTGTGTGTGTGTGTGTGTATATATATATATATATATATATATATATATATACACAAGGCCCTGTATTAGATGCTGAGGGTTCAGTGATATAGTTCAAGGGAGCTCTCTGTTGAGGTCTATGATAGGCACTCTGAAGGATCTGAGAATATTTAGAGTTTACAGTGTTTCTCAGTGTTGGGGAGGAAAGTGAAGGAGAGGGAAGGGGTTCTACTACATTCCTCCTTCTCCAGCTTCTTCCTCAAAAAGATTTTTTTTTTTTTTTTGCATAGACATACCTGATCGATTTTTTAATTTTAAAAACTCTTTGTTTATAGCAGAGTTGTTACAAAAATGTTACAGAGAATTCCTATATATTCTTCCCAGATTTTCCCAAATTTAACAAGTTACCATGCTTTAGCATTCTTTTTCTCTGTGTGGGTATACATATATACATATGTGTTCATAGACATATAATACACATGTTTATATGTATATGTATACACACACATATGCAATCACATGTGTATGTTGTTGTTGTAGTAGTGGAGTGCCATTGAGTCAATGCTTACTCATAGTGACCTCATGATAGAGTAGAACTGCCCCATTGGGTGTTCTTGGCTGTAGTTTTCATGAAAGCAGATCGCCAGGTCTTTCTCCTGCGGAGCCATTGGGTCAGTTTGAACCAACAACCTTTTGGTTAGCAGCTGAGCACATAACTATTACACCACCAGGGTTCCTTATGTATATTTTAAAAAAAATATACATGTGTATTTAAATACACATATATAAATATATGTGTATTTAAAAAAAAAAAAACAAACTCACTGCTCTTGAGTCGTATCCAACTCATTGCAACCCCTCCTTGGGCTTCTGAGGCAGTATCTCTAAGGAAATAGATTGCCTAATCTTCCTTCCGAGGAGTGGCTGGTGGGTTTGAACCACCAGCCTTCTGGTTAGCGTCAAATGCCTTAGGCACTATGCCACCAGAGTTCCCTTATACATATATAGATACATGTTTATAAGTTATAAGTTTTTCCTGAAAATTTAAGAGCAAACTGTAGACTTCACTGTGTATTTAAACAAGTTACCAAACCATAGGCAAAAAAAAAAAAAGAAAAAAACCAAACTCACTGCTGTCGAGTCTGATCTTTGGGTTTTCAAGGTGGTATCACTACAGAAATAGATTGCCTGTATACAATAATGAAAATCAGATGGCAGTGATTTAATATTATTGTCTAATGTACAGACTTTGTTCACATTTTGTCAATTTTCTTTACCTAGGCAAGGTAAAAGACAAGTTTTATTTGTCATGTCTTCCAAAGCTCCTTAATCTGCAATACTTCCTTCTGTCTTCTTTTTCTTATTTTTTTTCTTTCCATTAACTCAAATTTTTGAAGAGTACAGGTCAGTTGGGTGTGTCTCTTTCCTCATGATTAGATTCAGGTTTGGCAAGAACATCAGCGTAGGATGTGTCCTTGTTCGGTGCATGCCATCAGGAAGCACATGATGTTGACTTATTTACTTCATTACTGATAATATTAACTCTGATCATCACCTTCTCAATAAAGGGAAAGCTGGAACCAGTTGCCTTCCAGTTGGATCCAACTTATGGTGAGCCCATATGTGTCAGAGAACTGGCTCCACAGTATTTTCAGTGGCTAACTTTTCAAAAGTAGATCTCCAGGCCCTTCCTTGGAGGTACTTCTGCATGGACTCATATCTCTAGCCTTTCAATTAGCAGCCAAGTATGTTACCATTTACACCACCCAGGAATTCCTACATAATACGAGTCTCTTATGTTTATAATACTCTGTGATTCTAATGACTCATAAACTAGGTGGCTGTTTTATTCCACTAGTTTCTAGTTAGCAGGAGGATGACCTCTGAAACTGTTTGCTATTAGGTGCCATCGAGTCATTTCCTACTCAGAGGGACGCTATGTACAACAGAACAAAACGCTGCCCAGTCCTGCACCTTCCTCACAATTGTTGCTATATTCGAACCCATTGTTGCAACCACTGTGTCAATCTATCTCATTAAGGGTCTCCCTCTTTTTTGCAGACCCTTTTTAAAGAGTGCTATGAGTCAGAATTGACTCGATGGTAGTGGGCTTATGTTATGTTATGTTGAAGTCACTTTACTTCCATGTGTAAGTTTGGTGGAATCCCTGGGTGATGCAAATGGTTAACATGCTCAGATGCTAACCAAAAGGTTGGAGGTTCCAGTTCACCCAGCAGCACCTGGGAAGAAGGGCTGGCAATCTACTTCCAAAAAATCAGCCATTGAAAACTTTATGGAGCACAGTTCTACTCTGATACACAATGGGGTTGCCATGAGTCGGAATCATTTCAAGACAACTGGTTTTATAGATCTCAAAGGTGAAATTAGACCCAGTAGGAGAAGTTATAGGCAAACTGATTATGACTCAACAAGTTAAGTTTCTTTGAAAATGGAAACATTTGTCTTGTCCAGTAGTGAACTCCCTATCACTGGACATGCTGAAACAGATCTAAAAAAAAATTTCTTTTAGGAGTACAGTGGAAAGGAAAGAGGTACAACTAAATCAACTCTAATTCTAAGGAGGCTGTGATTATATGATTAATAATATTATATGGCTATTTTTTCACAACTGAGATGCAGTCACACATATCCACATAATGAGTCAGGTTGACTGAAGATAAACTTTAGGAAGAAACAAGTTGGAAGAGGTGTCCATCCTTGACCCCAAAGGTGATTCTACTCTGGACAGACAGGCCTTTAATAGATTTGAAGATATAAAAAGTATTGGAAAAGATAAGAGGTGAGGCAGCAGAACCTTTATAATAAAATCAAATGAGAAAAAGAAGAAGCTGTGCTTGTGTAATCATGGATAGGAAGCCAAAGGGGTGGGCTCAATTCCAGACCTAAAGGACAACTAGGGGCCATAGTCTCAGTGGTTCCATCAGGCTCTATCAGACCAGCAAACCTGGTCCTTTTTTTTTTTTTTTTTTTGATTTTGGGTTTTGTTCCACATTATTCTCCCACTCTATCCAGGACCTCCTTCAGAG